GGGTTAAATAATCAAAACCCTATCCTAAGATGACCTAAATCAATTAATAAGCATAGAAATAAATCATAAAATATAAGGTTAGGGGTTAGAAGTTAGACCAAACTACAAGATAACCCGTTACATGTGTAGGGGTATTATAATCCAATGCACTGGGTCATCCAAACCTGCACTTAGTCTGGGTTAAATAATCAAAACTCTAACCTGATTGGACACCCTAATAAGCCTGACCCCAATCTAATCATGTAGGGGTGAGTTAAGTCGAATTTACCATTTTACTTGGCCCATTAACATCCCTTACAAGATTAGTCACTCTTATCAGAGTTTTAATTTGAAATGTCGTTCGAACGATCAAGCATAAATAAAAATTATAATATTTGAATTGACTTAGATTGACTTGACTCAATAGAAAATGTCATATAAATTTGATAAAATATTATACATTTATACTTGGTGGGTGTCGGCTTGCTTGGGTGTATCAAGTTGACTAAAAGAGAAAAACAGCAAGTAAGGCACAGTTTAGGAGTACAAATACGAATATGTATAGTATAATTACATACAAAATATAAGGCTTTGCAGTCTATATATTTGTATTTATACTTCTTCCCAAATGAGTCTAGTTTGGAAAGAATATAAATACATTGATGACTTTTTACAGTGACTATTGATTTTTTGAAAATAGTGAYGAGTGGAAGAGTGTAAAGTTTTACATTGATAAAACCGATGTAATTTTTATATTGATTATCGATTTAAAACTTTAAAGCTGATGAGATTTTATATCAATTATCGACGTAAAACTACACTCCATCAAACACACATAAAACTGAATCGGAGTATAATTTTACGTCGATAATAACTACATCAAACCAATATAATCAAAGGTTGCATGCAATAACATCATTTGAGAGTTGTTAGGACTTCAACCCCTACTCTTCTTGATAGTGCTAGTGATATTCAAATTTCKAAGTATTAAGGAAGAGTGCATGGCCGATTCTGAGAAAAGACGTAGATTGTTCATGAAACGATGAGTTCGACCATCTGTGCCAGGGTCTACAGAGGATGTCCCATGTGTAGTTAGAGGATACTTATGAAACCGAAATACCATTTGATTTGGTTTATTAAACAAATTTGAAACATTAACACCCTTATATCAACCAAACTACAAACCTCCTAAAGTCCTGAACCAACAATGTGAATATTATAGGAGGAACGCTAGTGAAGGATTTTATTACTCTTAATTACACTACTCTTGTTTTCACTAACTAAAAAGAAGATGGGTTTATACTGCTAGATAAGATTTGTTATTGCTCTACTTATCTGCTTAATTGATTTCTGCATGTTCTCCCTTGATTAGCTTAACTAATAACTAGCACTTTCTTCCTAGCCTGCTTCTTCAAATTACTTGGCTTGCCAAATTTAGAGGATAATGGTCCGGCCCATTTATCCATTGGTTTCTTCCTTTCGATATACCTTGATGCACCATTTGTTACTGGTTAATGGGGATTTTCATGATGGGTTTCCATATCCATCTCTCTTTATATCTATCTATCTATCTATCTATCTATCTATCTATCTATCTATCTATATATATATATATATATATAAAAGAAGGAAGTCTAAGAATTTTTTCTATTTTTGAATTTTTTATTTTTTCTTTTATGTTATTTTTGAAACAACCAATGAGAGGCTTTCCTTCCCATAAAAGTTTACCTAAAACCTCTCTCTCTCTTTCTCACACACACACACACACAAACACACACACACACACACACACATTCTCAGTAACCAAAATAATCTCCTCTCTCAAAATTTCTCCTAAACTCTCTCCTCCATCTAAAACTTCCTTGTAAAACATATCCTAAGTCTCCTAGTTATATATTCCATTATTTTTAGGGAAAATACCCAATTAGTACCTTGTACTTTGGGCCTAGTGCCACTTTGTCCCCGAACTTTAAAATGCGATAGTTCAATACCCAAACTTGTAAAATGTGTCAATTTAGTGCTTACCATTAACTAGTTGTTAAGTGGCATTTAAAAAGAACAAAATGTCCTTTGAGTGTTATATAATTTTCTTTACCAACCATCCAAACATTGATAAAAAATGAATAGTCCTAAATCCTTGCTTCTTCTATTCAAGAAAGTTAGGACTGTTCATTTGAGATTTTCTTGAATAGAAGAGGCAAGGATTTGGAATTGATCATTTTTTATCAAAATTTGGATGGCTGATAAAGAAAATTATATGACACTCAAAGGGTATTTATGTCTTTTCAAATGCCACTTAACGGTTGGTTAATGGTAGGCACTAAATTTGCATGATTTTGGAAGTTTTGGTATTGAATTGTCCCATTTTAAATAAGGTTCAAAGTATTGATATGCCCGATACATCGATAGAGGCGTATAGGTAGTTTTTTTAGTTTTGTTATTTAAATCTTATTCAAAGGGGCCTATTTAAGGTCTACTCCCTTTGTAGGGGTGTATCGGGAAGCTCCCGATACGATATGTATCGAACCTTACTTTTAAAGTTTAAGGACCAAAGTGACACTAGACCCAAAGTACATTGTACTAATTGGGAGTTTCCCTTATTTTTAATGTTAAATAAATTTAAAAACTATCAATAAAATTAGCAATGCCCATTGATGAGGGATAATTTGGTCCTCCCAATCACATAGCGACATGTGGCCTTTAGAAGACACCTCGGCGCTGAGTAAGCGAATTAACTCAACAAGTTAGCTCAGAGCATCTCGTCTAGGCTGACCTCCACCTCAGCAAAGCCGAACTAGTAGACCCTGTAAGATTACAACCTGTCCTAGGAGCGTGCTAAGCTATAGGAGTCCAAGGTGACCTGCGAGGAAGAGCTTGCTAACCACTCCCTGCAATACGCTACCAAGTTGAGATCCCCGGAGCGCTGATATCTCGATCGTTAGATCCTCGGGTAGATCGTAACCCCCACACCAATCACACAACCAACACATTAATGCGCCTAACAAAGCAGAAATGGTACCGCAAGAAGTTCAGGCCTGTTACAAGAGTGCTCTGACTATTGCTACCTATATAAGGCACACACTTCTACCTGAAAAGGTATGTGCAACAAAATACTCTCTAGCTCTCTCAATCTCTAAAAGAATTCCAAAAAATTTTCTGACTTAAATATCGAAGTGCCCTCCCTAGGTAAAAGACACCCAGACACTCTAATTCTCCCTCTCTTGTAGCACACTTCAGCTTGGCCCAACCTTTAGCTCGACCCAACCTTCAGCTTGGCCTAGCACAACTCGGCCCTAACCAGGAAATATTCGTATCTATCTGAGTCAACAGACATGAGGGAGCTTCCACATCGTGTGACATCAATTGACATCGCCTATGGGAAACCAACACAAAAGCTAAGTTCTCTCCTATCTCTTTTGAAAACTAAGAAATGGCATCCTCGAGCAACTTGCCCGCCAATAACATTAACAATGGCCAAATCCTTACTATCACCATTAGCCCAATAGACATTCCCCTACACCTAGCTGTCGTATCGGAAAATATGAACACGCCTCCTCCTACAGTCGAACCCACAACGGTTCCTATAGTAGTCGATGCGCGTCGGTTCTATGATTTGGTACGATGTGTGTAGGGAATGAGTGACCAGTTGAAGTCCTAGGAAAGCAAATTCGCCTCTGTAGTAGGGGGCAACAACAACAGTAGCAACACCAGTAGATGCCTATGCAACAGGTACCCCATCAGAACCAACAGGTACCCTTCCAACAGGTCTATACCTCAGTAGAACACTGGTCTGAATCTGATCGGCCAGCTTATCCCGACTCTAGCCCGGGTCCACAATCAGATCCAGGTCTCCAGCAAGACACTTGGGCATGTTAACAACCAGCCCTACGGAAACAATGTGGCCCCAACAACAATCAGCTCCCAGTGGAAAGCTGAACTATCTCTCCCATTAGAACTGAGGCTGCCAACTCGTCTGAAGAGTCCAAAAGAAGGCGCAGGAGACGTGCACACCATGCCGCAAAAAAGAGCTAGCTCGCTCTAGCAAGGAGCATAACTCAAAAAAGAGCAGACACTAAAGCGACAAGCAAGGTAGATGCCCTATTTGAACAGTCGCACCTCATTCGAGAATCCCCATTAGCACTTGAGATACTCCAAGCACCGAGGCCAAAAAATTTCAGAGCACTCACCTTCTAAACATACAAAGGTACGACAGACCCAATTGAACAGGTCAATAGCTTCCAAGCACTTATGTTGCTTCATGGGGCCTATGATGCAAGCGACATACTGAGCAAAAAAAACTATATGAAAAAAAAAAAAAATGAACAGAAGCATCCAATGTGAAGTTTACAACAAAAAAAAATATGAATTTCTTTGGGAGGATCAAAATCTGTATTTCCCAGCGTCTCATGCTAAATGGGCTAAATTCATTTGGAAATTAAAAGTCACACCAAAATTTAGGTTGTTCACCGGGACGTTGCTCAGGAATTTCGTTCTATACAATTCGGAGCTTGCAGTTAGAGGGATCATCAGTCACAGCTGATTGCCCTACGTGTAAAAACTAAAAACATCTTAAAACTTATCGCGGAGGTTGCGGAACGCGGTCGCCGCAGATGATAGCTCCAATCTCCATATATTGTTGCTCGTGGAACTAATCCGGACTCGATTTAAGTAATAATTAATAAAAAGCTTATCGCAATGCTTACATTTTTGGGTACACAGAGAACACGATGCTTACTTTACACAACAACAACGTACAGTAACAACATCTAAAACGACAATAACAACAAACTTGCATTTAGAGCCAAGTTGGGATTAACAACTTCCTTGCAACAAACATAAACTCCTAATTAACTGCACCAGTCCGAGTGCCAAACCAACCGTAGAGTCACATTGGAGGACTAACTTGAGAAATCAAGGTTGAAWATATATATACCTACCTTGGGAAGCGATTGCATCATCTCGATCAGTTCTTTGATATGCAGCTGATGCAGTAAAGGAATTTAGTACCGTTGTCAATTTGTCTACAATGTTCCCTTCTCATGAAGATAAAGTAGCACAAGGAAAATTATCAAAGACATTGTAATCAGAATTTCACCACATAGTAGCGTCGAAAGCCTCCCAGGCGGCGCGATGGAAGATAGTGATGTTGAATATGTGAGGAGCATGCCATAAAGGGCAAGTATGAGTCCAAATCGAGCAGGGAATTGTTTCGTAAGGTAAAAGAACAGAACTATAGACAGTAAAAACGCCAGTGTGTTGTAAACTAGGATCAGATAGAAAATCAGCAGGGATCGAGTAGCCAGAATTGATGTTCCAGCCACGTGTGGTTTCTGTGATGCAAGAGTTGTGGAATTGAGGGTAGAGTAATCGGGATTGAAGTCATCCTGCCAAACACCACCTGGGAAGTTGATTCCAACTTGAAAGGTTGCTGTTGCAATCAAAGTAACAACCACCAATATTGCATTTCTGACTTCTCCTGGTGGATCTATGCCTTTCCGGTACTTAAAGAAGTCCCTTTTCTTCGCAAATGATTTTTTCATCTCCGAAAATATACTTGTTGCTTCATGATGGCTGAGAATATTTTCAATGTCTCTACTTACTTCATTACTTTGCAAYAGTAGTAGCTCCTGTAAGGCCGTATTACCATTCTTGTTCTTGACATTCAGATTCACCTTCTTCCGCCCAGAAAAATCCTCTAGTAGAAACTTTACCATCTGCACAATCATGAATATGCACATACAACTTAGTAATAACACTCCACAGAATTCCTCAAACGTTTCAATCCATTGAAATTGCAAAGAAGAAAGAGATAAGTAGCTAGGAAAAAGAAATATAGTCCTTGCCTGGAGCTGCAGTCGAGATGTTGCGAGGTGCAAAACCGTGTTTCCATCGTTGTCCTCCCAATTTACGAGCTCTTCCKTCTGAAGCTGCTGAAGCTTAACAAGCAAAAATTCAAAAGAACCAAAATCTTCATTTTCTACTGAAAGGTGAAGAGCGGTCTTATGTTCTACCGTCAGGTCCTCCATTGTTTGGGAGCATGTAGAGATCAATTCACCCATAACGTCGATTTTCCTCTCTATGGTTGCAAAGTGGAGAGGCGTCATCATCCCTTTTCCCTTAACGCGGCAGAGGCTACTATCAATGCTTAAGAGTCCCCTTACAATCTCCAAGTTTCCTTTACTAGAAGCCGTGTGGATGGGACTGAGACCATTCTTGTTTAACTTTCTAGCAAACGAAGGCTTAAGGTTTGCAATTTCCAGAGAAAAGAAGACGCGCCCCTCCTCAACAGATATGTGTAAAGGAGTATCAACAAACGGCATGCTATCAAATCCCTCAAGTATATGACGATCATCGCTAAGTAAGTTATATATGTTTTCTACGTTTCCCTCTTGAGCCGCTTCAATTATCTGATTATTCAGATCCATGGTAGTTGTAAAACGTGATGAGCTAAAACTCTTTCTTAATGATTGAAACCAATTATACCACTTTCTTTTATACTTTGAAGGTAAAGCATGTGTTTTCTCTTCTACTTCTTCTACTGCACACTACAAACCTTCAAACCTTATCTTGTTTTGCTCCTCAAGTGTCGTAATCTGACGATACCAAGGAAAGGTTACATATCATAAGTAATGAGATTTTATAGATTCCTCCACTCCATAAATTTTTACCAAAAATATAAAAACCTTCAATGAATTTTTTAACAATCATATAAACTTCTCCTTTGTTTTAACTATTACAAAAACCTCCATGTATTTTTGGAAAAAAAAAATGTACAACTACCTCCCTTTCGTTATCTTTATAGTAACGGACATTAAAATTATGAAACTGCCCCTACTATCCGTTGAGACAACTGTGTACAAAATCCAAAATTCTAATATTACCCTTCTATACTTCCCTAGGTCTAACAATTTTACAAAGTAAATTTACTTCAATCTTGTTAGGAATTGGGGACACTGAAACTTTTACGAGAAGCTTTGAGGCGTGTCTGAAAACACTATGTTTAGGACATTATTTGCCCCTACTCAGCTTCATGAGTTTTCTATTGGGTTATAAGCAAATTCGTTCCTATGATACAATARAGTCTTGGACGAGAATCTGCAACCAGCAAAATTGAAGAGTCTTTGAAAAACCTTTTATAAGACAGTAGCAGATCAAACTTAGAGAGACAAGAGAGAATTCAAAAACTTGTGTGCACAAAAGTTTGATTTATGCTACTTAAATAATTTCTGAAGGGTTATGGAGTAGAGGAAAGTACTGGTTCAAGAAAGGCTCCTTGAATAGTCACAATTTCAAATATTATGACTATTAAAAAGGTAGTTAACAGTTAATGACTGTTAACTTTGAATTGTGCCTTTTGATCACACCTGATCGAATCGTGACCGTTGATGTTTCAACAGTCAGCCTTGCACCAAAAGTGCGAGCAAAGTGCACCTCTGAAGCACCCCATTATGCCATGCACACACGTGTGTGCATGCATTGCGCGGTAAATGTGGGTAGGATTCTTGTGTTTAGGAGATCTGAATTCCTTCATGAAACCCTCCAAAACGATCATTGGGAGTATGAAATTGGAGCGTATTTGACATTGGGAACATGGAGCATTACATACCTATGAGTTCCAATGTACACTTCAGTAGAATGAAAAGAATGAAATCAATGTACAAGGCTATCTAGCTAGACTCAAATGCTACGAAAACTATAATAGCACGTGATGAAATGATCTTTCTTTTATCATTTCATGCGTGAGAGTGAGAGAGAGAGAGACCTGTTATG